GGGTGCTATGGGTGCTGTGGGTGCTATGGGTGCTATGGGTGCTATGGGTGCTATGGGGGTTATGGCGTCTATAAGAGCTATGGTTACGGCGCCGTCGCATCCTGATGACGTCGCACCTTGATGCCGTCGCACTCTGATGACGTCACTTCCTCCTCCCCCCTTCCCTCAGGTCGGCTCGTCGCTCTTCGCCTCCAACATCGGTTCCGGCCATTTTGTCGGCCTGGCCGGAACGGCGGCAGCCAACGGCATCGCGGTCGGGGGATTCGAGTGGCACGTGTGGGGCCGACCGACTGCGCCCCATAGCGCCCCATAGCGACCCATAGCGCCCCATAGCGACCCATAGCGACCCATAGCGACCCATAGAGACCCATAGAGACCCATAGAGACCCCATAGAGACCCCATAAAGCCCAATAGAGCCCCATAGAGCCCCATAGAGACCCACAGGGACCCATAGTGACCCATAGCGACCCATAGCGACCCATAGCGACCCATAGCGACCCATAGAGACCCATAGAGACCCATAGCGACCCATAGAGACCCATAGGGACCCATAGTGACCCATAGCGACCCGTAGCGACCATAGAGACCCATAGCGCCCCATAGAGACCCATAGCGACCATAGAGACCCATAGAGCCCCATAGAGACCCATAGCGCCCCATAGCCACCCATAGCGCCCCATTGAGACCCATAGCGCCCCATAGCGGCCCATAGCGCCCCATAGAGATCCATAGAGACCCATACAGACCCATACAGACCCATAGAGACCCATAGAGACCCATAGCGCCCCATAGCGCCCCATCGTGCCCCATAGCGCCCCATAGAACCCCATAGGCACACATAGCGCCCCATAGGGACCCATAGGGACCCATAGAGACCCATAACCCCATACCCCTGCCCCACATCCCAGCCCCATAACCCCACACTCCAGCTCCACCCCACATCCCCGCCCCATATCCCTGCCCCACATCCCACCTCACACCCCAGCCCCACATCCCCGCCCCATAACCCCACGCCCTTGCCCCACAGCCCCATAACCCCGTATCTCTTCCCGCCCCACACGCAGGCGATGTTTATGGTGCTGCTGCTGGGTTGGATCTTCGTCCCCATCTACCTCAGGGCTGGGGTGAGTCCATGATGTCACCCCCTCCCCGATGACGTCACCCCTCCCCCATGACGTCACGCCCCCCCGATGACGTCACCCCCTCCTATATCATGGCTCCCCCTCCCTGATGACGTCACACCCCCCCCTTTGATGTCATGGCTCTTTATGGGTCTCTATGGGGCTCCATGGCTCTCTATGGGGTCTCTATGGGTCTCTATGGGTCTCTATGGGGTCTCTATGGGGCTCTATGGGGTCTCTATGGGTCTCTATGGGTCTCTATGGGTCTCTATGGGGTCTCTATGGGTCTCTATGGCTCTCTATGGGGTCTCTATGGGTCTCTATGGGTCTCTATGGCTCTCTATGGCTCTCTATGGCTCTCTATGGGGCTCTATGGCTCTCTATGGGGCTCTATGGGTCTCTATGGGTCTCTATGGGGTCTCTATGGGGCTCTATGGGGCTCTATGGGGCTCTATGGCTCCCTATGGGGTCTATGAGTCTCTATGGGGCTCTATGGGGTCTGTGGGGTCTCTATGGGTCTCTATGGGTCTCTATGGGTCTCTATGGGATCTCTATGGGTCTCTATGGGGCTCTATGGGATCTATGGGGTCTATGGAGCTCTATAGGTCTCTAGGGTTCTTTGTGGAGTCTCTATGGGTCTCTATGGGTCTCTGCGGGGCTCTATGGGGCTCTATGGGGTCTATGAAGTTTCTATGGGTCCCTATGGGTCCCTATGGGTCTCTATGGGTCTCTATGGGTCCCTATGGGTCTCTATGGGTCGCTATGGGTCCCTATGGGTCCCTATGGGGCTCTATGGGGCTCTATGGGTCTCTATGGGTCCCCATGGGTCCCTATGTGTCTCTATGTGTCTCTATGTGTCCCTATGTGTCTCTATGGGTCCCTACGGGTCCCTATGTGTCTCTATGTGTTCCTATGGGTCTCTATGTGTTCCTATGGGTCTCTATGGGTCCCTATGGGTCGCTATGTGTCTCTACGTGTCCCTATGGGTCGCAGTGGGTCGCTATGGGGCGCAGTGGGTCGCTATGGGGCGCACGACGTCCCACCCCACGCCGTTCCCCCCCCAGGTCACCACGATGCCCCAATACCTGCGCAAACGGTTCGGAGGCGCCCGCATCCAAATCTGCCTCTCGCTTCTGTCGCTGCTGCTCTACGTCACCACCAAGATCTCCGTCAGTGGGGCTGGGGGGGGGGGGCTTGTGGGGTCTGTGGGGGCTCTATGGGGCTCTATGGGGCTCTATGGGGTCTATGGGGCTCTGTGGGTGTCTATGGGTCTCTATGGGTCTCTATGGGGGCTCTATGGGGCTCTATGGGGCTCTATGTGGCTCTGTGGGTCTCTATGGGGCTCTATGGGGCTCTATGGGGCTCTATGGGGTCTATGGGTCTCTATGGGTCTCTATGGGGCTCTATGGGGCTCTATGTGGCTCTGTGGGTCTCTATGGGGATCTATGGGGCTCTATGGGGCTCTATGGGGCTCTATGGGTCTCTGTGGGGCTCTATGGGTCTCTGTGGGTGTCTATGGGGCTCTATGGGGCTCTGTGGGTCTCTATGGACTCTATGGGATTTATGGGTCTCTGTGGGTCTCTATGGGTCTCTATGGTTCCATGGGGCTCTATAGCATCTGTGTGGTCTCTATGGGGTCTATGGGTGTCTATAGATGTCTATGGGTCTCTATGGGGTTTCTATGGGGTCTATGGGGTCCCTACGGGGCCCTATGTGTCCCTATGGGTCGCTATGGGGTCTCTATGTGTCTCCATGAGTCCCTATGGGTCCTTACTGTTCCCTATGGGTCCCTATGGGTCCCTATTGGTCCCTATGGGTCGCTAAGGGTCGCTATGGGTCGCTATGGGTCCCTATGTGTCCCTATGGGTCGCTATGGGTCGCTGTGGGTCCCTCCGTCCCCTAACGCCTCTCTGCGTCCCCCTGCAATGCGGCTCGTGGCCGGCAGGGGGCGCTGCCCGTCCCGCAGGTGGATCTGTTCTCGGGCGCCGTGTTCCTGCAGGCGGCGCTGGGCTGGGAGCTGTACGGAGCCGTGGGGGCGCTGCTGGGGGTCACCGCCGTCTACACCATCACCGGTGGGAGCCGAACTGGGAGCACTGGGAGCACTGGGGGCACTGGGAGCCGAACTGGGAGCACTGGGAGCCGAACTGGGGGCACTGGGAGCTGAACTGGGGGCACTGGGAGCCGAGCTGGGAGCACTGGGAGCACTGGGAGCACTGGGAGCACTGGGAGCCGAACTGGGAGCTGAACTGGGAGCACTGGGAGCTGAACTGGGAGCACTGGGAGCGCTGGGAGCACTGGGAGCTGAACTGGGAGCACTGGGAGCTGAACTGGGAGCACTGGGAGCTGAACTGGGAGCACTGGGAGCACTGGGAGCACTGGGAGCTGAACTGGGAGCACTGGGAGCCGAACTGGGAGCACTGGGAGGCAGACTTGTCCATCTTACTGGTCTTACTGGTCTTACTGGTGTTACTGGTGCTCCTTACTGGTGTTACTGGTCCTTACTGGTGTTACTGGTGCTCCTTACTGGTGTTACTGGTCCTTACTGGTGTTACTGGTGCAGGCGGGCTGACAGCCCTGATGTACGCCGACATGGTGCAGAGCGCCGTCATGGTGGGCGGAGCCTCCGTGCTGGCGGGATACGGTTCGTACTGGTCCATACTGGTCCATAATGATCCTTACTGGTCCTTACTGGTCCATACTGGTCC